AACTTAAGTTCGTTAAGTTTATGAGAGGGAAGGTTGCAAAGTATTGCATTAAGTTGATGTCAGTTCATGTTGAAAACCCTGACCCTATTTCATCGAACTTACTAAAAACTACAGTTTAACACTCGCTTCCGAAATATGATCTTTCTTTATCATAACTAATGTCAGTTGGTGACGAAAGCTTTATGTAGTTATACCCCTAAACCACAATATCTGTGCAGTCACTAAAATGGACGTATTGTAAGATCCATTTTGAAGGTTTTGTGTGTTGGTGAAAATCCCTCCATGTATATACTTGTACTTTGTTCCTATTGATTCCCTTAGTTGTACATTGTTGTATTTTGATTACATTTGAGTTGTTAATACTTGTATTTTTTATTATAGTTTTTGTTTTTCTTACGCATTCACTAAGTTTGTGTTTCTTCCTGAACTGCATCTGTGTTGTTTTACTTGACACTTGTTCTTGGCGGTAGCCATATTGATTTGTTCCTCCTGTTGTGTGTGATCTATCCAGCCAGGATAGAATAACGTTGATTTGTTGTGATTGGTAATTTTTCCTCATCTTCTATCAACTTCTTTATTATTGTAATTTAGATTTAATTGATTGAACAATCATTGGTTGAATAGCCGGGTGATAATATTTGTTTAGGTAATGATTTACATTAAATTTATTATGAATTATAGAACCGCTAGTTACCCGATTACTTGTTCTGATTTTGACGGGAAAGGGCGCGTGTCTAAAAATCCCCGATCGGCTATTCTTCAACATCCAAACCGTAGTTTGGATCCTACACGTATATCTATAAATTTTGCGTGCCTGTGTGTACCCCTCGTACTACCGATAGAAGAAACCATGCAAGCAGTGAACAGGTTTTTATTTTTAAATCTTGGAAGGTAGTATCGAGCACGAGGTCACCTTATCAAACACACAAAGCTTTTCAACATTCAATATAAAATAACAAGAAATGTGATCCCTATAGAAAACAAGGAAATGAGTGAATACTTGGGCTTTAATATTCTGACATATACTTAGATATTCGCGACCAGTTCCTAACCAATTAACCTAAGTTGTTACAAACCCTCTCTTTTTTATTACGTGGGATAGTTCGACTTTTGAACATTAATCATTACGATCAAAGTTATTATTCCTCTGTTATTTCATTGCTGGGTTTGGTTGGATTATAAGTAGCTAAGGTCATCGGTCCATCATGCCTTTACCAAAGCATTCATAAAAACGTTATTGTGCCACATTTACCTATTTAATAAATAAACAAGTACGGAGGCCCTGTATAGTTATTTAACTATATCCGTCCCATAATACTAAATCAGCGTTAAGGACCATCTGTATCTCGGTGTTGAACCTCTTTGAGAACCCGATAACCTTCAAAATGGTATGGGAAAATTTTTAATCCGATTTTTTAATAAAAGAAACACCATCAAGTTCCAGTGTGCCAACAAATTGGACACATAAAATTAATGTGATGTTTCCAGAATGGTTAAGTAGTTCTTGCAATATTTTTCATTTCCGTGTTCTATGCATACCGAAGTTATGCAAATACTTTCTACTTGATGAATCAGACACAGGTTTGGAGTTTCATATAAAGCTTGTTGGAATAGCACAGTTATTTGATGGCTAAAACAGGCGGTCTATTGTAGTGTCGGTTTATGACCATACGATCTTCGAGGGTGAACACAAGATAAAAGAAAATTCGCATTCACCATCCAACACGGAGAGGTCAGTAATTGTGAACGCGGGATAATCAGTGGGAATGGAATATCTCGGCCATACAGGCATGCTCATTCTACATGACCTCTAACTTTTTGTATTGGATACGCTACTTTCTTCCCAGTCCAAATGTCATATTCAGAAGTGCTGGATGCCATAGTGCTAATTGTCGCGATAGGACTAGCCAGTGTAAACTGTGGTATGACTTCCACATAAGATCTGATAGACTAGGTAGCCAAAGCATGACAAATCCACAACTTTGGGATTAGGTCTATTGTTATGGTGTTAGAGATAAATGTACTACTATCGAACTAGATCGTAATTCCATAGGTCTGTAGACACCCTATCTATAAACCATTAGAATTTATGTGATTAGCATAAGGTATACCACGAGATATCAATTGTCGTCGTTTCTTGTCTTTCCACATTAGCTAGGATAATTCATTAAGGGTGAGAAAAGTAGTACAAAGCAACACACCAGTTAAACAGATTATTTATGAGAGGGAGGAAAAGCTGAATGGATCGCTGCTAGATTTATCTTTGATTCGGATTATCACAAAAAGACACAAGGGTAAATAAATGGCTAACAATAACACACAGAGAATTAGAAAGATATGATCATATCCGAACCAGCAATTTTCGTGGAAAAATGGAATACGGACGACTACGTTTTAACTGCAACAATTTTGAAATGGAAAAAAACTGTGACAGTGGGTCATACATAAAACGAAATCTTAGGATTTATAGAATAAACCAGTTACGGAACTGAATACTAACATTTTGGAGACTTTGGAACAAGTGAAACAGTGTTCCCAAAATTAGCTTTTGATGCTCGTCAAGGCTTTTTAATTTCTTTATTCACGTAACGTTCGGTCCAAAAATGCGTCCATTCAAGGGCTTTCATTCAGCTCACTGAAGCCACTTCGTTTTTCCCACATAACATGTCTAACTGTACCTTATATGATGAAGAAGGAGGCAATACGCAATTATTTCAAAATCATTTATTGACTTAATAGTCACTCTCATTGAATAAGGCAATACAGAGTGTTAATCACGCAAATTGGTAGTTTGAAACAACCTAATTTTGTACACCCTTGTATTTCGGGGTGACTAGGGAGTAGATTGATTTAGTTTGCATGTAATCCCCCCCCTACTCCAGTGCCGTACTTAAACGATAGAGCCTTTGCTGACATTTCATAAAATTGGATGTAAAATGAAGTCAAACTATACAAAAATATCACGTATTTAATGTCCTAATAAAATTGTTCTCTCTAACACTTTTTTAAAGGAAGATCTTAAAGCTAGTAGAAATAAACGTCAAGAACAAAAGGGTTTGATATTATCTTTAGATAGTGTCCAATACGTTGAAATGTGTAAAGCCTCAGCTGTATAGTTCTTGAAAGAGATGAGCATCACAAAGTGTCTAAACATGATCTGGTGAGGTTACCTGACTAAGCGCCTTGAGCTAGAATGTATCTAGTAGAATTAATGAGGTCAATATCCACATCGCAAACTTAGAGAGCTGTTTATCTTGAATATTTATCAATAACTATGCGAGAACCCTTGGATAAAATTTTGGATCAGGTTGGCAATATTTCTGACTGGTGTGGACTCTAAAAGATGGTGGCTTGTGAAAGGACAAGTAGATGAGCCTCAGGTAACAAATTTTACCACTTGCGCTGACACAGCTTGACTTCAAGGTTACAAATAGACTATCTAGAGTTTAATTTGTCCGCCAAGCGTCGAAAATCAACATTCACTCATAGTCCCCACACACCTCTGAAGTTCTGTCAGGAGCCATTTATTTGTCATCAGATCCTCCATCCAATTAGTCTTGTGTGAAGAACTAGCTCCTATACAAACTATGCTAAATAAATTTGTAGAGACGGTGAAGTTCATTCAGCTTAAGAGATTTTACATTAGACGAGTGATCACTGAACGTTGAACTGTTTGCCGATTATCAACAGGGTCTCAGGTGGCAGCGTAGGCTAATCTGTGACTCGCTATGAACTGATCATACTGCAGCGGTTCCATTCTATGCTACTCTGACTTGTCCTAATTAACAAATGTTGTTGTTTCAGTACAATCGTTTGTCCTTGTCAGTCATCATGGTGGCCAATTCACATAGTTATCACAATAGGATGAACCTAGTTAAGTATTAACCACGAGGCGCAGCTTCGAGGAAAGCTAGAATGTTCCACCATCCCTTTCCAACTTAAGTAAAACCCCCATACATACAGTTTATTAAATTGGAGATTTACAGATCTCTCAACGCAGAAGATTGACCGTAGAAAATACCAGATGTGTTCGGTCTGAAAAAACCCAACAGCGAAGCGATGGTTCAACCCAGTTAAACTCTGTGAATTTTTCGCTATCAATTACTAAGCCGTTGAGCTGTGAATCCAATAACAAACACGAAGTAGATTGGAATAGTCGAATTCTAAAAACCCAGTGCCAATAACTATAGGTTGCCCTCACTTACCGAATTAAAATGTCTTCATTAAGTTACGACCGATTCATGTTGACTTTTGAAAGTGCTTTTCATTTAACCTGGATTTTCCGTCTCGTGGTGTGAGCTTACTGTTATTCAAAGTATTTAACAGGTTTCTGCAATCACTCATGTTTCCTAAAAGCAACGTTAATCTATTTTCACCGTCCGAATGAAGGAGCAGATTTAACTTTAGGCTTTTCAATGTCTTTTCAATATCCGTTGTTGACACCTAAACTATCAGAAACCTTATGTGTGATAAGGTTCCGGACCTGATAAATGTGCTATTCTTGTTACACTATTAAGTATCAGAACAATGAAACCAGTTTTTTCAATAGCAAACGGGTGATAAATAGAGCTGAAATCTACGAAGCGAGTTTCCTATTATAAGGGCCCCTTCAACTAGAGGTATGTAAAACCCAGAGTCGATGTCCATTGCGGGATTCGAACACAACTCCACTTCCAACGATGTCGCGTGCCTGAGGTCTTTTTACATCACGAGACAACGAGATTGAAGATAAAGTGTAGGAAGTCAGGTCCATTAACTAACAAAATGGCTTACACCGATACATCTATTTATCTTCGACATCTGAAAATAACAGGTAAATGGCTGATAAGGCGAAAAAACATTTTAATCATCAGTTGACGATACGATACTCTGAAATGGAAGCAAATCTGGCAATGAATAAAACTTTGTTAATGAAAGCTTTAAGGAACTAGTTTACTATACTTCATATGTTGGAGTTTGAAATTTATTGAATGATTGATTCCGCGTGAGTTTTGGCGGTCAGTCTACTGCGCGTGTTATCAAAAAGATGGCATGTAGAGTTTTGCGTTTGTCATTTTAATTTGTAGGCTAAAAGAACGAAGAAAGTTGGCATAGTTGGAAAGTATGGTGTTCGTTACGGTGCTTCTCTCAGGAAGACCATCAAGAAAATCGAAATCAGCCAACATGCTAAATACAACTGCAATTTCTGTGGAAAGGTAAACTAAGAAAGCCCTTTTGCCTATTCATCCTTTAGGATTCGTTAAAGAGGAAAGCAGCAGGTATATGGGAATGCAAGGCGTGCAAAAAGGTAGTAGCTGGGGGCGCTTATGTCTGCAGGTATGTAATTTCACTTCCTTAACCATTCTGTAGCACTACTGCCGCGACTACAATCCGAGCTGCTATTAGGCGCTTGCGTGATGCTCACGAGTCATGAACTATGTTTCTTTAAATATAGCTGGTGCACTTCCTGAATATATTTCTGATTTAAAGTCTTCGGTTGAGTGCTTTCAGGGTTATTCATATCTATATGAAAAGGTGGTTGGTAATTTTGTCAGCCAACAGGCGTATATAATAGTGTGTTAGTCATTTGAAATACACAATTAGATGGTCCTTTTACTATAGTGGTCATGGTTGTTTCTTGGAGTCGCGCGGTTCTGATCGTGTCTTAAGTTATTGTATGATGTTAAAATGCAAGAATTAGGTACCGCTTTACTAAGTTGCTTGCAAGTGAGTCGACTTAATTACAAAGTCAGTATGTGCATTTGATTCTTGATGGCAAGCTAAACATAAAATCATCTAATATACGCTAATGCCCATTGAAGATCACCGCCGTATTCTCAGTAATTTGATTACCAAGTATATATCTTTTTCACGAATCTACTTATTGTTAACTACTATGGTTAGTTTAAAAACAGTTATAATCTTGTGGCCTGCCGGTATTTTGTTGTTTGTAAACTACTCGATGTTATGGGTTTTCCATTGAGAATTACTGAATGAATAGTCACCTAAGTTTTGTAAGTTGGATATTTTTGAGTTAATCCTGTGTTAACCCGCTTTGTAAAGTAAGACTGCAGCTCCTTGCACTCATCCGAAATAGTTTGATCCACGTTAATATGTGATACGTTGGAGATATTTTTATAACAGAATTTGACATGCGCTTTACAAGATATAAGGATTGAGTCGAACTCCCATGATTTTGTACTTTTTGCAGAGCACTGAAAGGGGTTCGGTGTTTTCGTTTCCAGTGGACTCAGTCGCTACAATTACTCGACCGTTGATATGAAGTCTTCTATGAGTAGCCAATAGTTGTTTGAAAGGATTGCTGGTTTCTGTAATCGTATAATACACGGTAGCGATTCAGGACATTCCCATGATCACTTTTAGGCTACACATAACCAGTGTAATATTAGGTTGTTGATTATATGTGGTCGTACAATACTGTCCGTTTCACCATTCGCCTACTTAGGTTGTATCGCAAGTGGAAGGGTGAACTGGTCAGACTAGTTACTACCAAAAACATCACTAAAAAGTTACACATTGTAATACATTAGGTCGATCTAACCCCACAAGTATTCCGTTTATGATAGTGAATCCGTTAGCCAACTGTATACACTTTCTATGTGTAAAACGATGGATGCAAAAGAATTCAGTTTAACGATATTTAGACGTCCAGATTCACACAGATGGAGGCTTTAGGTCATACGGAATCTAGAGGGCTACATGCTGGTTAAAAAATTAGATTGATAGTGCGAGGACGAGTAACTGTTTGCTTATCTGACCACTAAGAACCCACAAAATGTAGCTCACCTATCTCTCAGTTTTAGCGAAAATCACGTATTTCCATATAACGGGACAACCCCGAGCTCCAAAGGTTGAGTCTCTACAGGCCATGCTAACCGTTGATACAACATAGTTTGAGTTATTACCAACCGAAAGTAAGCTGGATTGTTTTGGCTCTGACTGTTGTGGTTTGTGACAATAATGATCCCCGTGAGCAGTTTCACTAGCGTGCTGAAGTCAGTAAACATTGGGTAGTCACATGGACTTGAAGGACGACAAAACAGGTCTTCATCTTTTGCAATATACATGATATTTTGCAGTAGACCACTGTTTTGACCCAAGAGTAACATTTGACAGCAGCGATCGAACAGACATGTCGGTGTCCTGAGATTTCAGGAGATTCGTATTGTGCTATCAAACGCATTTTATGCAAACTCAGTTGTATAGTATTGTAGGCTATCAAGGTGACTAAAGAGCTATGTAGACTGTTGACTTTAAGCACAGAAAGAGTATTAGTGTAAGTGACTTGGATTTTTCTTCCCTCTCTGATCTACTTAAAGTATACAGATGCAGGGTTTGATTGATTCCTTGGACGAGAACCTGTGTATAGGTGCCTTCCGCATTTATCAAGTACCAGGTGATGCTCAACGACCACTATGAATAACAGCAGATCAAGAAGTAGGTCGCTAGAACAAGATATCGCATCACCCAACCAACTTGTATGTATGTATGCAAATGTCCTGGTTAAGACCACTAAGATAATAGAAACCGGGGGTTGGTGATGGGAAATAAAGAGAGATGGCAACGGAGTATATTTCCCACCAGTTTTATCCCTTTGTAAATCACTCATACACATAGAGATTATTCTTATAAACATCTGTGGCCGCTTTTACGTCGACTTGTATATTTTCCATGGTCCTTTCTCGGTATATGCGAGTTAATACTTGCCAAAGGCCAGTAAAATGAGTTAACTTAGTTTGCATCCGTCTATAATTTAGAACATTAGTATTATTTTGGTGTAGATGTATATAAGTTGCCAGAGAACATATTTAAACCGTGCCCATTCAGCTAAGTTGTAGGTAAGCACTCAAACATATATATTTGAAGATCATTAACGACAACAGTATTACAAGAGGTTAATCTGTGAAATACACAACTCATTTTGATATGGAGATCAGGACAAACCCTTAATGCAATAAGACAGAGAAACTGTTTCATTGACCAAATGACTATTATCTTAATACTATGACAAATTAGTGTAAAGTGATTACAGGGACTAAGTGTATTGCAACTGACAGAATTTCCTAAGTATGGGTATCTTGAAAACTAACATCGTAAGAAGATACTTCTTTATTCATAAACATTGCAGCTTTTAAAATAAAGTTCAAAAGCATATAACTGATATTTCGACTATGATACTTTCGGGTCAATAAATACAATTAAACAGTATTGGGACAAACTCCGCACGTAGTCCTTGTAGGGTTACTGCCGGTCTCAAGCCGGGATAGAGGAGGAGAAAATCATTAACACCATTTAAAGTCCGCCCCGGGAGTCGAAGGATCTTTATTTAGAATTCTGATACCTTATGGTGAAAGCCGAGATTCTTTGAAAATCACGAGGCCGATGACCCTTCTAACTACCAGAGCAACAATTAATGTAGGCACATCGAATGTCTGGACAATATGGGAGACCAGTCGAATAGCTACGGAAATGAGATACAAATAGGCGGTGCGCAAAATAAGCGAAACCCATCGGACCTAAGCTGGACAGAAAGGATTAGCTTCAGGAGAGGTGCCGTTGTACTCTGGCCATAAATAAGAAAATGCTTTACACACAAGAAATCGCATTAATGCTTCTTAAAGAAACGCGAATCTCGTAGATAAGATGGTGGTTAGAGGCAGTCAACAAAAAACCCTGGGCCCAAGTTTCGTGATATTTGGCGCCCGTCAGCAAGATGTACCTGTAATATTGGGGGGACTGATGCTCCCTGACGGGTTCGATGTCGTGTCATCCGGCTTCACAGGCAGAGACTTTACTACTGGACTGTCCGGGCCACGACTGACCTCCTGTAGGATTGAGATATATTCACAATTGATTGATCACTAGGTGGTGATCAATGTCATGTGTGTCAAGCTCTTCTTCATGCACAGTGGTAACGTCTCTTCGCATAATGCATGTAATGCCTATTCACCTAGACTGATGGCCACATCGATAGGATTCAATCTGCACTACGAAGGACCTGACACACATGACATTGATCACCATCCAGTGATCAGTCAACTGTGAATCTCATAGATCCGGGATCATCAAAGCATCTTTCAAAACTGGGGATTACGATGAATGTTGTCCAGTGATATGCGACCACCAATGATAGCAAACAAAACGATAAAGATTGGTTTTATGAAGCTGCAGTCAGTCAGAGAAAACCCAGGAAAGGAACTGACCATCCTAATGGGAGACCTAAACGCCAAAGTCGGAAAAGACAAGATCAGACATAAAGGTATCATGGGACGCTATATTTATTTATTTGGACACATAAATATTGGTACAAGAGAGCGCCAATATATATGCGCCACACAAAACAATGAGAATTCGAAAAGAAAAAAAGGTAAGGAGCGTAAAAAAAGAACAATAACGAAGAGGTTGGTGTAAGGTAGTGTAGTAATAATAATAATGAGGGAACGGAAAGGTACAATCAGAAGAAATCTTTCAGTTAAGGAAGACACAACCACTTTTTATGAAGAAAGTAAAAGAAGGTTACAGCGGAATCGCCATTGGCTTCTATTCTGAGCCATATCTGATAACGTCTCTAGCCACTGTGTAGCACCACCTCTCGGACCCCAACCAGGGAGTCGTGAAGGACCGACAGAAGCCAGTCCTTTGCAGCTTTCTTTCATACTACGACACCATGTCATACAATGACCACCTCTCTGCGTTTTCCAACCAGTCCCAGAGTCGGCAAATAATGTACGACGTGGAATTCTCTCGGCGACATTCGTAGAACATGTCCAAGCCACCGAAGACGGTGTTTCAAGATGGTGACATCAATTGAATTATCATCTCTTTGCCTGAACACACGATGCCGAACCTCTGCATTACTGACATGGTGTTGCCACTGGATGTCAGCAATCCTTCGGAGACAGCGATGATCGAACACAGAGAGTCTTCTAACGTCCTCAACTCGGAGAGGCCAGGTTTCACAAGCATAGAGCAAAACTGCTCTCACCGACGCGTTGTAGATCCGACCTTTTACAGCCAGACTAACATCACGAAGGCGCCAAAGGTGGCCCAGATTGGCATAAGCCGCTCTGGCTTTCACTATACGTGCATTGATCTCATCACTCACACCCCCACTGGAACTTATGCAGCTACTATAAGAAAGGATGTGAGAGCAAAGAGAGGAGCTGATATAGTCAGACCACCAGTTGGTAGTGACCAAGATGAAACTGAAGCTAAAGAGCACTGGACAACTGGAGAAACAGCATTAAAAAGCTTTAGTACAGCTTTCTTTCGAGATACTGACAAACTAAACGAATTCAAGATAGCTCTCAACAACAGGTCCCAAGCCTTACAAGATTTACTGAAAGACGTTGCTATGGAGAACAACTGGGAAGGGATCAAAGAAGTACTAACTTCAACGTGTCAAGAGGTTCTGGGTCGCAAGAAGCATCATGATGAAGAATGGATCTCTATGGAAACCCTGGACAAGATTCAGGAAAGAACAAGAAAACAGCAATTAACAGTCGAACAAGAACAGAGAACGTCAATGCACAAGCTGGATACACAGAAGCAAACGAGCAAGTGAAGAGGAGCATTATAGCTGACAAGAAAAAATATATGGAAGACCTAGCAACGACATCGAGAAAAGCTGCAAGAGAAGGAAATTTAAAACAATGAAGCTAGCAGGGAAATATGGTAGACCAGAGAGACCGATCAAGGACAGAGATGGCAAGACAGTCACTGAAATTCAAGAACAGAGGAACAGGTAGGTAGAAAATGTTGAAGAAACTGTTGGACAGACCAGCCCTACTGAACTCACTACAAACCGAAGCAACACACTTAGACATTCTTATGGGTGTCCCTCTAACAACGATGTAAGAAATCAAGATGGCCATCAGAAAAATCAAGGGTGGAGAAGCAGTGGGATCAGACAACATACCAGCTGAAGCATTTAAGTCGGACGTAGAGATAACTGCAAAGACACTCCACATTCTCTTCAGAAGGCTTTGCGAGGGAGGTTAATCGCCTACAGACAGGAAAGAAGGATACCTCATCAAGATACCAAATAAAGGATATCTGAACAAATGTGAGAATTGCAGAGGTATCACACTACTGTCAGTACCAGAAGTTTTCAACAGAGTGTTGCTAGACCGGATGAAAGACGCAGTAGACGTCTAACTTCGAGATCAACAGGCCGTGCACAGAACAAATCGTCACACTGCGAATCACTGTTGAACAATCAATTGGATGGAACTCGTCACTATACATCAACCTCCTTGACTATGAGAAAGCATTTGACAGCGTGGACAGGACTTCATGGCGACTTCGACACTATGGTGTACTTGAGATCGTCAACATCCGACGGACTACAATGCAAAGTCGTGCATAAAGGATAGCTGCATCCTAAGTGAGGACCGGTGTCGGACAAAGCTGTTTACTCTTCCTCTTTCTTCTGGTGGTTGACTGAATTGTGAAGACCTATACATCTCAGGGGAAGCATGGAATACATTTGACAGCTTGCATACAACTGAACGGTTTGGACTTCTCAGATTACCTAGCTCCTCTATCCCATACACACCAATAAATCCAGGCGGTGACATCCAGTGTAGCAGCAGTAGCCTTCAACATACACAAAAAAAGCAAGATCCTCAAATACAACATGGAAAACACCAACCTAATCACATTTGGTGAAGAAGCTCTGAATGAGGTGGAAAGTCCTAAGTACCTAGACAATATCGTTGATAAACAAAATGGATCTGATGCAGATGTGAATGCACGGACCGGCACAAGGACAGAATTCTTACAACTAAAGAATATCTGGAACTCAAAACAGCTGTCAGCCAAAATCAGTCTTAGAGTCGTCAATACGAATTTCTACACAGTTCTATTGTACGGAGCTGAAACTTGGAGAACTACAATCATCATCAAGAAAGCAAAAGCATTTATAAACTGCCTATACAAAACAATGCAGGTTCGTTGGTCAGACACCATCAGCAACAACCTGCTGTGACAGAGAACAAACAGGATTACAGTTGAAGAGGAAATTAGGACGACGCTGGAGGTAAATAGGACATACATTACGGAAATCAAACTGCAACACAAGGCAAGTACTAACCTGGAATCCTCAAAGCGAAGGGAAAAAAGGAAGACCAAAGCATAGAAGGCAGACAGCAAAAGAATGAATAGCAGTCGGGAAGAGAGTTAGTTAGAGAATCCTGGTCGGTAGCCTATGTTCCATTAGGGGTAACAGGCGTAAGTAAGGAAGTACTAGAACAAGATTGTTGCAGACGGTAGCTGAAACAAACAGTCGTTTGTATAGATCAAACCCGAGCGCACATTTCTCAATTACCATCATCCTATATCTATAGTTCAAAAATAGATGTTTATGTTTTATTGACTAGTGTTGCCATATAATACCCATTTCAGTCTTTATGCATTCAACGATGTTCGCTAAGTCGAGGTTTTACCTGTTCACTATGATTAAGTAAGCGAACTGAGAAATCCGGCTGTTCGACCAAATAGGAATGTGGTGGTAAATAGAACAGTGAAGGCGATATAAAAATTGTTTACAAGAATATAATATATATTTGAACAAAATTTATACAGTTTACATGTTAGATGCCAAGACAAGAAATTTTGGGGACATGTGCACTGGAAAAATAACCTGGATAGGAGGTGATGTAGGGATGAGGCGTACATCAACAGATTGAAATATTAGTTGGCACTAACACTGTAGTTTGATAGAATAACCTACAGCATTGTAGAAAAACGAAGTGCTAAGTATACTAGGTACATATATGAAGTACTAATCTTTCTGGAAGTTTAACAACGCAAACGACAAAGAATAATATTCTTAAGTGTATGTTGTTTAATATGCTGATCTTTTAGCCAATAACTGAACACCTTTAAAAGAAAGACAACAAAATATTAACTCGAAATTCTGAATAATGTACGAAATATGAAGTAAAGTGATGTAGCATACGGTTAATTGGACTGAGACTAGTCTCACATATATTTCGATGTGAATTTACCTCAATTCACCGGTGCTAATTGCCAATAAAATTTTCGAGAGAACCATGACTGAATACACAAACAGACTACACATTGAAAGTGAGAGTTTATTCGTAACTAAATAATTTGCAAAGATAGGGAGAAAACCTGAAGAGAAAGATAGTTGTAGAAGAAAGATAAGACGAGCTTTACAAATGTTCTAACTGAAAATAATGTGAGGTTAACATAGCTGCATATTTAAAAAAGAATAAGTATCATCCCGAAATTATATGATAAGATCATGGGTGGTTTGTTAGTGGAATATCCATCTGAATTTGAGGCTTTGCCCATTCGACGAATTCATCAATCAGTACTGGCCAAGCACCTGTAGGTAAAAGATAATTTTTGAAGTGAAAAGCAACTATAAAACAGGAAATGATTCTTACCAAGGAAAATGAATATAGATATGAGACGAATCAAGCACCATAAAGATATCATTGGATCAATTAAGTACAATTTTACTACACTGTATCATAATATCAAGAAGTTTCAAACATTACGTAATTTGCCACACATTCAAATATTCTTACTCAAATCCTCATTCTATTGTTTTGTTCCGCAATCAGTTTTAATCCTGGCATTTAATAAATAAGAGTTTAGCTCATTATCAGAATCTAGATGTGGAGCAGCCCGGATGGAGCGACGGGCTAGATACATGCACTTAGTCAATTGAGTTAGGGACTCTGCTTCATGCAGACTTCAGTATAGGCATTTGTGAAGTATTGACAACAATAACAATAAGTGTAGTTATTTAACCTAGTGCATGGGCTCGTATTTATTTACGAACATTACTGGAATAGAAGACTGTAAAGTTCCTCGACTGGTGGTATCGTGCAATGTGTCTACGTGTTCAGTGAAACGAAGATGTATTGATGGTTAATGTATGAAAGCTAGATCACGATATTCTGATGATTACTTCCATTCAACTACCTAATACCAAAGTTTTGATTTGGTTAGTGGTAGTTTTTTGTTAAAGTATCCGTGCTCGATATAAATCTTTTAAAAAATGCGTAAATAAATATAATCTTTATATACCTTCTTCATCGTAATTAGACATGTCAGGATAAATTGTTTCAACAAAGTCTAGAAGAAGGTCCCATGTGTCCTTAGAAATTGGACGTTTATGATGTTCCTAGAAATATCAAGACAAAAAAACCGATAAGTCAATATAATTGCCTGTTCAGTGGTGAGAATGTATACAATACTCAACAGTAACACAAATTATAAACTAGAAAAAAAGTTTGTTAGTCGAAACCATTTAAAATGCATCAGTAAGTAGTTAGACAAAAGAAATATATCTGCAAGACCTGCTTACAATATAGGCCGAAGTACTGGTAATATGTTTTAATAAACAATGTGGATTTAGTTGGCAGAGCCAATATTATATTGGAAACTCTTCCAGTTGTCGATAAATGATTAAGTAGCTCAGTTATCAACCTTTTAATTTCATGCTGAAACTCATTACTTTGATTTGAGAATCTAGTGTTCATATTAGCCATCACATAAAACGTGTATCTTTTGTGGTCGGTGAACTGAATTCTTTTAGGAAATACTATGAGCAACTACTCAAATTAGACATTAGGAAAGTGGGAATTAAGCAAGTTGCATTACGTCCCACTTATATATATTTCAATTCACTAATAGTGTAGATAAAAAAATGTGAAAATTTAAAGAATTCGCTTTAATTTACCGTCAATTAAATACATCTAACAACTGTTCAATTAATGTATTGGTCTATGAAATGACTTACTTGAAGGAATTTAAACCATAGGGATAAATGACAAAATCGACCACGTAGAAGAATTTCCCAGTAGGGAATAGCGTACTGAAGAACTATGAACAAATACACGTACAATGAAGTAATACTGGTAAAGAAGTTTAATTAAAAAAAGGAAATAATGTTAGCTTACTGATTTAGATTAACCCATTCACTAGGTAGAGGCTTATATACTTGGCATTGAGCCATACTAAATGTGATGCTAATTAGTTGTTCAAAAATAGTAGGTGAAACGTGGTTCTAATTTAAAACTTTGTGGTTTAAAGTTGATTACCTTAACCATCATTTCACAAACTGCTGATTTAAGCATTAGATATTTCAACTACTATGGGACAAATTCGAATGTAAGTTTAACTGTTTTACGGTTGGTTAGTAATCTTTAAGTTATTCATACACAACGAGTGTCCTAGTGCATATATGTGTTGGCCTAACACAGTGAGGTTTAAATCAATAGGACGAAAATCAGAGAAATGTGGATAAGAGTGATATCAAAGACAGTGAAAAATTCAAAGAATGTAGTTTGGAAAGGAAGACTGAAATTTTAAGTAGCATGAAAAGCTGAAATACTTAGGATAAATTACAGATGGACTGTAATTTAAGATATTAGTAAAGAAAAATAACGAGTAGCTCACAATATAACATAGAAATAAAAATATTAGCAGAAAATATTGGCCAAAGGAGAAATCTACATCACATACGCAAATTTTCACACAGATCGAACAGCTTATCATAAGGACATATAGACGACTTTTAGCGAGGATCAAATGTTACCTCCGTTCTGAGGCTCCATGCAACAATGAGGTTAGTGGGACTGGATACCAATGCCCAAGGATTACCGGATGAGCACATATATGCAATATAATCTTCCTATCTACAGATGAAAAATGAATTTGTAGTCCATGATTAGAATTTTGAGTATAGGTTATTGTGGTAGTGAACACTGAATAAGACATAGTAAATATGTTTTTGTAATATTCCGATGACTGGAACGTATTTCTAACTTAATGTAAGTCACTTTTCCCGAGTAAATAAATAAACAATATTTACTTTGAAGAAGTGACTAACGTAAAGTCACGAAACGTCAGAAATACAAATTTCTACTCATTGTGATATCACAAAAATATATTTATCATTAACTTTCTACCCAATGGTCAATTTCTTTGGAACTATCAAGTCCAAACTTGGTATTGAGTCATAGCCAAACCTGCTTGTTATTCGATGTACATCAATGTATGAACGTTGAAGAAAGAGTTTAAGTGGCACATGTGGTTTCGGAATTTGATCATTTATTGATTTACAATAGTCGAAATTTGATAGAACCTTCAGAGCCGAGCTGCCGAGTTAAAGGATAAAATTCTTAAGAAGCGAAGTAGAAGATTAAAGTGACACAAAATACCTTAACTTATAATGAAATGTTAGTTTTCTGATCTACGAGGTTAAGAGCATAGGATGAAAAATTCATTATCTTCAATGATTATCATCAACCGGATAAGAAATGTGATATAATATGTGAACCTAATTTTTATTTATGTATTTAAACACAAACATTGGTACAAGGAGGCACCAAATAGATATACACCACATAAATCAAATGATTTATGTGAGGATTAGGATACTCGGAAGCAGGTGGTTCTCTTAGGGGGCCACTCCCTGACCCTTCGACCTAGAGGTCTAATCCACAAGGCAGTGGGGCAACTTCAGGAGATGCAGTCCCATGGTACCCGGTGGCCAACGATTGGTTCACATGCCTTGTTTCCTCAGGACCCTGGAGCTTATGTGCACCATTAGTTTGGAATGAGGGTTTTTCAACTCCCCTAGGTGGATCTTCCGTGTCCACCAACTCGGTTAAAGCGCCGGACATTCGCTTTTCGTCCTCTCAATTTTGTAAGCACCCCCGCCGCGAGAAGGCAGTGAGTAGGACTTCCCTGGTAGTGGCTCAGTCAGTCAGTTACAACGTAGAACCAGGCATATACATGCATCGGTCCAAGTTGCCACACCTCTATAGCACAGCAAGACGAGCACCGGATTCATAGAAGCAGTTAACTCAATTGTGTAATCTATAAAGGAAGGATTTTATGTGAGGATATAGTGCAGAAAGAAAGAATTATTTCGTAGAAAGATATGAAATAATTTAAATCTCATAGTTTAAGGGAAGACAAAATGTATATACACCTACGCCATTGTGATCGATTCTGAGCCATGTTACCCAGAGTCTCCAACCATTGGTTACGACAGTCATGCGGACCCCAACCAAGTAGTTTGCATCTACCAGCATGGCTAAGACTAGAAGTTAGTGACTTCAAGCACTGATGGCACGTTTCGGTTTGACCGTCCCTAACTTTCTTCCAACCATTCCCAACACTAGTCAGCACTGCGCGTCGTGGTAATCGATGTTCAGGCGTAGGCAGTGGCTGTACACGCGTGATCATGTGACAGCATTTCGAAAAGGAGAGCTGACTCTTCCTACTCTCGACCGTACTAGGGCATTCGGGTGCTAAACTGAAGATGATTTTTCGGAGGGTCAATTCTTGAACCAAAAGAACTAGTTTACAGAAAAGTAGAGAAACAATTTGAAATACAATCTGATGGTAGCCAATAATTTGTGCCTTTTGGTAAATCACTTTTAGCGCTCAAATCTTTAATATAATGGGAGACGCTATAAATAAATTTTGAAACGAATACACAACATTAACAATAACTACCATAAGAAGTTACTTAAATGAATAGAAGACAAGAATCTACCTACCTAATGATTTACTTTCATGTTTATCCAAATTAGCGAAACCAAATGTGAATAAGTATAAAGAACGAAAATTTTGTTTGTCTTCTATATCACTTAATAGAGTAGGAAGTTTATTACGCAAGGAACTGATTGAGTCACACCTAAAACAAAGGAATAAAGAGTACAGCAAGTACATTATCTGTGTATCTCAACAATTAGATCTTAGTTTGAAACAAATGAAGTCTTCTAATTACATCTATATGTCGAGTCAAAACGTTAAGAATTCTAAATTGCTATATTTGTAACACAATTTCTAGTCGACCGTAAAGTCTCAGCTATTTTAGTAGTCGCATAATGCGAAGTTATTCTTATCCTGCATAGAACATACAAGAACATTCTTTTTTGGAGGCTATATAATCTTGTAATAGCAGGACGACATGTCTAACTGGTTTTCCTTTTTTAGTCAACATTTTTTCAGTTTGCCTGGTCAAATCTTCTTGAAAGGCTTCTCCAGAAAACTTGTCTGCATCTTAATAATATGGTCCTGGAGATCCAAAAGAATAGATCAGCACTCTTACTAGAACTGTCTAGCATTAAATCTTTATTCCTCAAATCAATTAGATGGGATTTATGTCCACTTGAAAGTAATGGTCTGGCTATTTCTTTTGCAAATACCACACGACTATTGCATCTTTCTTATCCAAGTAATTTGGATAAATATTGTTCGTTCGCAATTTTTTGTTCTGACTTCGAATTCAATTGAAGTATTATGGCCAAGGAATACTAGATAGTAGAATACAACTTTGCCTTCATTAAATAGCAATATAACCAAAAAGCTAAATAATTTGAAACTGTAATTGCACTACTTTAAAATGTATTGTTGATATACCACCTGCACGGTATAATTTGGCATTTAGCTTCAAGAGGCTTAACTCATTAAATGCGTATTACAATAGCCGGAAAGAGTAGACACCATTGAAGTACGATCAGGTAATTGACCATGGACTCTTTCAAAAAAAACTCCGGAGCGGTAGATCTGTTACTAGACGAGTGATTTTAATTTCAATTATACATTAGTTAGTTAAAGTTAGTCAGTCAATGTGACCTTTCATTGATTGAGGTGGATAGAAAGGGAGCCTAGTTACCATATGAGTTTAAACAATCTACTAAACAGGGTAGGATTAAGATAAAAAAGGGTCACCGTCTGGCTAGACCAAGAAATATGATCGAGCGCTAAAACCATTGAGTTTTCATCTAAGTTATGTAAGGAACTGTGGATTTCTCGGATGGAATTCACAAGGATTTATACGTCATGAATTAACATCATTGGGAATGATGGATTAAATACACAGACTCAAAACCTTAAATATCATACTACTTTAAGTCTTCTATTTTCTGTCTATTTTTCTTTTGATTATTGACTATCATTATTTTCAGTGTTAGTTTTCTTATTATTAGTTTTTTTCATTAAGGGAAGATGAAATGTACTAATTTAAAATAATAATCGGTTGCACCCAGTTGTGTTTTGTTGAGATATCAGACTACTGGATCTTAGGAGGTTAGTGGCCTGAAGCTTAAATGCTTTCCGCGAGACCTGGGGGCTCTAGGTTCGATTCCTGGTGGGGTCATGGGTGTGCACGGTTGAGGAGTTTCACACCAAAACGAAACAGATTTCTGGTGCCTCATGGTTTCTAATGGTTATTTGACTTACGTCTGTTCGTTATCTTAATACTGAGAAACAGTTATAGCACCATGTAATGTTACAGAACTATATTTCGTAATGATTCCTAGTGATCCCATCTTGATATAATATATTAAAATAGGATTAAGCATAGTAGGTAGCTTTATTTTTAACAGTAGTCAACTGAAGAAAACTAGTCTCTAACTCGACTATGAAGTTTAGAAAGTAAGCAGTGATTTCCATTAAATTTGACCAAGACATAACATTTTAACCTGAAGTATTATATAGATAACTTACCCCAACTCTCTGAACCCACGAAAAAACTCCTCGCGAGTAAATTCTCCTTGGGTCTTTGCTGAAAACTTCCAAGCTAGGATTAAAGTGAGTAAACTTTCTGGGTCAATATGGAGATCTGTGACAAGAAATAGCTCCATCCCTGTAGCTAGTATGCGATCAGGACACTGAGGATCTACTCAGAAATATATAATGGAAAAAATGGCAATAAATTTTAGTTCAAGAAAATTTATATCATCCAACCAAACATTTGTGGAGTTATTTATAACTACAGAGGCAGAGATATTGTTTCCTTGGATTTACAATATCTAAATATGATTCTAATATTCCTAATTGTGAAACAAATATGGGTCAACATCGAAGGATTTACAAGAAATGGCTGTATTTCTCAGACAAGTTCGATTCATGTAGAAAATCGAGACTACTTGTAAATGAAACTCAAATCCTCTGAAACGATGATTTAGTTTTCTATACAACTGAGAATCAGAAGTCCAACACCAACATACGGTAATAACTAATTCTAAAAACTTAAAACTTTGGAAACAGTAAGAAATTAGTGATACTTAAGATGTCGCCGCTACACAGAATATATCAGCAGTCAAGATATATTAGTCTGTAATGAAGTTTCAGTGAGATTGCAATTTCGAACTACATTCCAGTTTTAGCATCTGGAAAGCATTACTAGTCTTAAGATAAAACATGTGATTCAAAGCCAACTAATGAATGAACATATTTTGGGTTATTGATATAGCAATTCATTTAACTGACATCAAAGTAATGACCTAATTGAAACAATTATTTTTTCCCTTAGAAGCCATTCCAACTAAAATGAAGTTGCATTAGAATAATAAATTCAGAGCAAACATGGAGAAATATCTGAAAATATTCCAGCAGTTGTGTTCTAAAGATGCGAATCAAGCTGACTTACTGGAGCTTCAGAACTCCAAGCACTTTAAAACTTTCACCCAAAGTCATGCTGACATTCATAAAATGAAGTGGGACCCGGATATCCCCAGATACCAAATATGTAAAGTGGCTTAAGCACGATTGATCAGTCTCTTATTTGCATATGTAAATCCTGTGCGCATTGACTCGATATTGTCTTAAGTCACAAGCATTATAAGAAAAAATGGATGGTGGCCAGAAGTGAAATCCAGGACGTGCATTTCGTCCTATTTGGGACTTGTCGGCCGGATGTATCTGCATCCCAGAGTTGATGGTCACTCCGACATTCAAGGCAATCCGCACGGGATGCACATATACCAATGAGACTGATCAATTGCAGTCCTAAACATTAATGGGAAGCCCCCAAATGTCTTGGTACGGTCGAGAGTGGGGAGATTAAGCTCGCCCTTTCCAAATGCTCTCACATGGTCACGTGCATACAAATACTAACAGGGAAGTTCTGTTCACTGCCTTCTCGCGGCGGGGGTGCTTACAAAATTGAGAGGACGAAAAGCGAATGTCCGGCGCTTTAACCGAGTTGGTGGACACGGAAGATCCACCTAGGGGAGTTGAAAAACCCTCATTCCAAACTAATGGTGCACATAAGCTCCAGGGTCCTGAGGAAACAAGGCATGTGAACCAATCGTTGGCCACCGGGTACCATGGGACTGCATCTCCTGAAGTTGCCCCACTGCCTTGTGGATTAGACCTCTAGGTCGAAGGGTCAGGGAGTGGCCCCCTAAGAGAACCACCTGCTTCCGAGTATCCTAATCCTCACATAAATCATTTGATTTATGTGGTGTATATCTATTTGGTGCCTCCTTGTACCAATGTTTGTGTTTAAATACATAAATAAATATGAGGAGATTCAAACAAACAATAGAAAATGAACTAAAACTTCACCCCATTGCACAAGCTAGTGGTTATCTGGACTCAGCAACAAAGTGAATAACATGATGGCGTTTGAGGTGAATGGTACTTGCTTCGAGTCCCGAAGTGAACATCAACTCTGGGTTGCAGATACATCCAGCCGACCCCAAAATAAGACGAAACGCCCGTCCTGGATTTCACTGCTAGCCACCATCCATCTTTGCTTATAATGACTCGAGTACAGTTGTTCTTTAACACAAAATATAATCAATAGTTCATTCTCAGGTTTTAACGTCATCGGAAAACCGAGTACAGGTGTTCAACGCATTAACGCTTACCACGATAACGCTGGAACAGATGGTCAATTTTCGCCTCATTAATAGTGGGTCCTTGAGGAGTTGGATTCTGTCTGTAGAAGTAATCTACGGCCTGTTCTAACCTCCAATTGCTCATCTGAAGGCAGTCAATAGCAACCTTATCAGAACTTCGAGTAATAGCACTGAACTTCTTTACGCGATCTCTTTGTGAGGAGCTCAGTTTATACTGAAAACAAGATTCAAAAAAGATGGACTGGAAACGAATGTGCGAGGAATATTACGCTCAAAAGAATAAAATCAAACACAGAATTCTACCACGTAAAATTACATTTACTAAGGGGAAAAGCTCTAAAATGAAGTATAATTACTGAACATAATAGGAACGGCAATGACCTTAAAATGCTTAAGACAAAATAGTGGTTACCAGGAAAATATACTTATAATCAGATAATTTGTATTACTACTGTTGAAGAGCGAAACTACATTGTTTATTGGACATGGATGTTAAGCACTTGAGTGATTATAACGAGACAAAATGTAGTTTTTAAGAACAGTCTACTCTAATTTTCTCTAGAAATAAGGAAGTCGAAAGGAACGTAGTGAGGTTCGTTAAGAAGGAAGAAAAAAATTCTTGTTACCATGTCCAAAAACAGTTGTATGACTAGTTCGGATCAGTGAGAACATCACTGAAAAAGATGAGCATTAATAATGTCTTAGACTAAGAGAAATGAAGAAACAACCTACTTGCGCACAGCTTCAATGTTTTGTCAACTATCATTGTAGCTCTTACCAATTAAAATATGACAGACTTAAAACAATGAAAAATGGGAGGACTTATAGATGTATAACCATGAATGTTGTTAGGAAAGTAGGTCAGGAAATAGTGTTGAGGCATTAAATTGAGTACAGAAGTAAAAAAAATAGTAGCAGACGATTTCGGAAGAATATTAACTCCTTTTGATAATTGCAAAACAGATGTGTTTGTTTATTGTAGCTTCTGAGGCATTAGATACCATAATCATATGAGACTTAATTGGAGATGAGAATCAGAAAAATTGTGGGGTTGAGATTTCAAACCTAGGGAGGGTAGTATTGGGTCTACATCCTCCATTGAGTGTGTAATCACAGACTTGAAAATGCATATTGTCTTACCTAAGGTATTCTTCCTAAATTTAATGAGTCATGCGAAGAACTGTGGGGGTAACTTCAACAGGTTATGCACACTCATTTATTGCATACCGATTTTACTGGATTTGACTTTTATGAGATTAATCTTCTCTTTTTACAGTCTCTGACCGATTCAAAGTAAAGGATTCTGCTAAGTGGAAACCCCGATAGGATACAAGGTTTAAAACTGAGCGAACGTCAGAATGTTTAAAGTATCGGATTAATTAAACATTAGTATTCTATTTATGTACTTAGAGCATATAAATCCTGATTCTGAAGCTCTATGCAATGCCCCTGATCATTAGTCACAATAATCGTGTGGTCCCCAACAGGGCACAGTGCAACAGTACATGACTTAATGGGTTGAAACCACATCTTGGTTTGGCTGCCTCTCTCTCAACTTGCTCTTACACCAACCAACATTAGACGTCAAAGTAGGCGGTGGTTAGACAGACAAGTATTTCACCCATCTCAGTTGATAAAGATAAACAGTCTTACCGACTTGTTATATTAGCCTAATACTGTGTTTAACACCAGCATTGCTTACTCGGTAGTTCAAACGTGCTCCAATAGTGGTCAGAAGACACCTATGACTAAACACTAGCAACTGAAGAATGTTCTTTTAAAAACCGTTTGTTAACTATGAAGCAAATAACTCAGTGTACTCGTGCCTTTGATAACAGACAGATATACTGACTACAGTACAAGTGGCCCAAGCCAATCAAGCTTAGATAAATCTGTACTGATATTTCATCAGATACTAACCAATAAGGCTGATGAGGCGTTCAAGACTAGTGAAATGACTGACGCCCTTAACTATCTCACTCAGTATGATTAAGTTAGACTAGTCCCTCCGGGGGCTACTGCCGGTCCCAAGCTCGGATAAAGGAGGAGGGTTGGGCATGGGGTTAGCGTCCCCATCCCGTAGAAAACTAACTCGCTAAAAAAACGCTAACCAGAAAAAAATATTCAAACCTTTTAAACTCTGCCCTGGGAGTCAGAAGGTCTTCATTTAGAAGAATTATGACGTCTCATGATGAAAGCCGAATTCCTTCGCACGATGCCGATGCCCCTTCTGACAACCAGAGCGATCATTTATTTAGGTACATGGAATGTTCATGCAATGTGGGACACCGGGAGAGCCTTCCAAATTGCTGCAGAAATGAGAAGATACAACCTAGAGGTAGTTGGGATCAGTGAAACACATTGGACACAAGTTGGACAACAACGACTAACTACAGAAGAGCTCTTGTTATACTCCAGCCATGAAGAAGAAAATGCACCACATACACAAGGAGTTGCATTGATGCTGTCCAAACAAGCGCAAAATGCGCTAATAGGATGGGAATCTCATGGACCAAGGATCATCAAAGCCTCGTTCAAAACAAAGAAAGAGGGGATTTCAATTAACATCATCCAATGCTATGCGCCTACCAACGACTACGATGAGGACGCTAAAGATCAATTCTATGATAGGCTGCAGTCAATCATCGAGAAGTTCCCAACAAAGGACCTGACCATTCTGATGAGAGACTTCAATGCCAAGGTTTGAACGGACAACACTGAATATGAAAACATCATGGGACGACATGGACTGGGAGGAAGGAACGAAAATGGTGAGGGATGTGCAAACCTATGTGCCTTCAATAAATTGGTCATAGGCGGCACCATATTCCCACATAAGCGCATTCACAAAAGCATATGGACTTCACCGGATCACACTACACAAAACCAAATCGACCATATTTGCATCAACAAAAAGTTCAAGAGGACTATAGAGGACGTGAGAACCAAGAGAGGAGCTGATATAGCATCAGATCATTACTTGCTGGTCGCCAAGATGAAATTGAAACTCAGGAAGTACTGGACAACAGGGCGGACAATATCACAAATGTTCAATACGGCCTTCGGGATACTGACAAACTCAACAAATTCAAGATAGTCCTCAACAATAATTTCCAGGCCTTTCATGATCTACTCAGTGGAGAAGGAACTACTGTGGAGAGCAACTGGAAGGGGATCGAAGAAGCAATCACTTCAACATGTCATGAGGTCCTGGGTCACAAGAAGCACCATCACAAGGAATGGATCACTGTTGATACACTGGATAAGATTCAAGAAAGAAGGAACAAGAAGGCAGTAATCAATACCAGTCGAACAAGAGCAGAAAAAGCCAAGGCACAAGCTGAATACACAGAAGTAAACAAACAAGTGAAGAGGAGCATCAGAACCGACAAACGTAAATATGTGGAAGATTTAGCAACGGCGGCGGAAAAGGCTGCAAGAGAAGGAAACATGAGACAATTGCATGACACGACAAAGAAACTCTCTGGAAATCGCCGCAAACCAGAACGACCAGTGAAAAGCAAGGAAGGCGAGGTAATCACCAACATTGAAGAGCAACAAAACAGGTGGGTAGAACACTTCAAAGAACTCTTGAATCGACCAGCTCCACTGAACCCACCCAACATCGAAGCAGCACCCACGGACCTTCCAATCAATGTTGGCCCACCAACAATTGAAGAAATCAGCATGGCCATCAGACAAATCAAGAGTGGCAAAGCAGTAGGACCGGACAACATCCCAGCAGAGGCACTAAAAGCAGACGTATTTATTTATTTATTTGGACACATGAATATTGGTACAGGGGAGCGCCAATATATATGCGCCACACAAAACAATGAAAATTCGAGAGGAATACAAAGAAAAAAAAAAGCTAAGGAGCGCAACAAAAAAAAGAGAGAACAATAACGAAGAGATTGGTGTAAGGTAATGTGCTAGTAATCAGGGAACGCAAAGGTACAATCGGAAGAAATCTTTCAGGTAAGGGAGACACAACCACTGTTTATGAAGAAAGTAAAAGAAGGTTACAGCAGGATCGCCACTGGCTTCTATTCTGAGCCATATCTGATAACGTCTCTAGCCACTGTGTAGCACCATCTCTCAGACCCCAACCAGGGAGTCGTGAAGAACCAACACACGCCAGTCCTTTGCAGCTTTCTTTCATGCCACGACACCATGTCATGCACTGACCACCTCTCCGCTTCTTCCAACCAGTCCCAGAGTCGGCAAATAATGCACGACGTGGAATTCTCTGGGACGACATTCGGAGAACATGTCCAAGCCACCGAAGTCGGTGTTTCAAGATGGTGACACCAATTGAATTATCATCTCTGTGCCCGAACACACGATGCCGAACCTCTGCATTACTGACATGGTGTTGCCACTGAATGTCAGCAATCCTTCGGAGACAGCGATGATCGAACACAGAGAGTCGTCTAACGTCCTCAACTCGGAGAGGCCAGGTTTCACAAGCATAGAGCAAAACTGCTCTCACCGACGCGTTGTAGATCCGACCTTTTACGGCCAGACTAACATCACGAAGGCGCCATAGATGGCCCAGATTGGCATAAGCCGCTCTGGCTTTCACTATTCGTGCATTGATCTCATCACTCACACCCCCACCAGCACTTATACAGCTACCCAGATACACAAACTTCTCGACTACGTCTATCTGTTCACCATCCAGGGTGAGTACAGGATTGGAATCCTGCCAGTCTTGTAGGAGTACTTTGCACTTCGAAGGTGCAAAGCACATACCATACCTACGGACACTGATTGCCAACTGATTAAGTGCGGATTGCATGCCTTGGGCATTATCGCACAGTAAGACAATATCGTCCGCATACTCAAGGTCGAGAAGTCTTTCTCCAGGCAACAGATCCACACCACCATTACTTACATTCATCAGAGCTGTTTCCAGAATGTCATCGATGACAAAGTTGAAGAGGAATGGTGAGATTGGGCAACCCTGCCTAACCCCACTACTCGAATGGAACAATGGAGAAAGGTGGTTGTATGCCCTCACTCTGCCTGAGGTGTTTTTATATAGGGCTTTTAGGATGTTAATAAACTTCTCAGGCACACCCTTCTTCAATAGACAATCCCAGAGAACAGTTCTGTCCAACGAATCGAAGGCAGCCCTGATGTCAAGAAACACTACGATTGTTGGCCTTTGATAAGTATGGCGGTGTTCTAACATTTGGCGGAGGGTGAAGATATGATCAATACATCCTCGACCAGAACGAAAACCAGCCTGCTCCTCGCGAGTCAATCTTTCTCGGGTTTTGAACAACCTACGAAGTATGACGGAAGCCAATAGCTTGGACGCAATCGGAAGTAGACTTATCCCCCGATAGTTGTTACAGGAACGACGTGAACCCTTTTTAAAGATAGGGACAACTATCGACTCATTCCATGACGTTGGCACACTCTCTAGTTCCCAAACCTTTGTGAACAACGTCGTCAATTCCTTAGTCAAAAAGTCACCACCATCTTTAAAAAGAGCCGGAGGTAAGTCATCTGGGCCAGGTGATTTGTATCGCTTCAAGAGTTGGAGTTCCTTGCGGACTTCCTCCTCGTTTGGTGGATCAGTCGTCACCGGCCATGGAGGGCAGGACAGTCTGACTGATGTTGCCTGAGCAGCAGGCCAGTTGAACTGCCCTTCGAAAAATTCTGCCCACCGTCCAAGACGTCGATGGATGTTAGTGATTGGCATCCCATCATCCTCGCAGATTGTTTCACTCACACCAGACTTCTTGCTGCCAGTGGCTCGGATGAGCTGGAAGAGCTTCCGGTAATTACCAGATGCAGCTGCTGCTTCCAGCTCATTAGCACGCTTCGACCACCAGGCTTCTCGGTCCTTACGCAAGCTTTGCCCGATTTCCTTACATAACATCCTTCGTTTATGGTCAAACTCACGGTCACCCGGAGTAGACCGACGGGCTTCAATGAGTTGTAAGGAACCAGAAGAAACCCAGTGCTTAAAAGCGGGACGTTTCGCAAACCCACAACTGACTGTTCCCGCCATTTTCATGGCGTCATGCAATTGCAACCAATGCTCATCTATACTTTTCGGTGGAGTGGTAGCTAGCCTAGAGGCTAGCTCGGTTCGATACTTACTTGCAACCGAAGTTGCAACCAGCTTGCTAACATCAATCCGTTGATGGCGTTCACTTCGTTGTCCACTGAAAAGTAAGGCAAGATTGGCGCAGACCAAGGCATGGTCAGAGTCCAGATAGGTACTCCAAAAGGAGCGGCAGTCTTTTACACAACCACGCCAGCGGTAGCTGATCGCGATGTGATCAATCTGAGTCCAGGCTTGGGATGCAGAGGGAGGACGCCAGGTGGCACATCGGCGATGACTGTGCCGAAAGTTAGTGCTAGCCAGAAACAGGTTGTGGTCTGTGCAAAGTTGCAGTAGACGGTCCCCGTTATCTGACCTGCGACCAACGAGTCCCCATCGGCCACCTAAACGACTCTCTTCTGTGCCTAGACGCCCGACCTGAGCATTCAAGTCTCCGGCTAGTACTACAATATCTGTCGAACGCACTTTCTGGAGAAGAACAGATAATTGGTGGTAAAACTCATCCTTGATTGCATCCGGGCTGCAATCTGTCGGGGCATAGGCGGAGATGACGAAAAGACATCGTTTCTCACGCCGATTTCTTCTCACTTTGATGGAACTTTCTAATCTAACAGCACATAACCGACTGTTAATGGGGATCCAATCGACTAGTGCTGCCTCAGCTCTAGCGCTTAGTGCGACACCAACGCCTGCAAGACCAGACGAAGATGCCACAGGGTCCCCGGATAAGCGCACGTAAAACAAGCTTTTTGAAGTGACAGATGTAGAGCGAATTTGCAGTACTTCGCTAGAGTCTTGAATACGGGTCTCGGATAGACAACAAACATCAATATTAAGACTTTCCAAAGACATAGCCAGCCCTATCTGTTGACCAACCTGCATAAGTGTGCGAACGTTGAAGGCAGCCAGTTTGAATGGCGCACGTGGTTTCAGAAAAACTGCTTCAGTACTCATATTCGATGGTAACATACAACTTTCAACCGGACAGTGACTCGAGAACGTTTAGATACAGTCGGATTTCCACCAAAGCCGAGCCGCTGTATAAGTATGAAAGAGGGTGAATAATGTGGGAAATAATAATAATAATAATAATAACGACAATAATAGTAATAATAATGGTATTAATAATGACAATAATAGTAATGATAATTATTTGAATCGATTGATTGTTTTTGTTTTTCGGAGCGATAAAAGTAGTTGCCAAAGACATAGAGTTCATCGTTTGTGTGTGGGCTGTGATACTGCCCGGGTGCCCAAACCGAAGCAGGTGGTTTTCTTAGGGGGCCACTCCCCGAGCCTTTGACCTAAAGGTCTAACCCACAAGGCAGTGGAGCATCGTAAGGAGATGCAATCCCATGGTAGCCGGTGACCAAGGATTGGTTCATACGCCATTTGTTCCCGCAGGATACTGGAGCCCATGTGCACCATTGGTTTGTGATCCGGTTAAAGCGCCGGACATTCGCAGACGTAGCGGCAACTGCAAGGATACTTCACATTTTCTTCAATAAGATTTGGGATAAGGAACAAGTACCAAAAGACTGGAAAGGAGGACTTCTGGTCAAAATACCGAAGAAAGGCGATCTCAGCAAGTGTGATAACTACAGGGGCATCACTCTTCTCTCAATACCGGGAAAAGTCTTCAACAGGGTATTGTTAAACAGGATGAAGGACTGCGTAGACGCCCAACTTCGTGACCAACAGGCAGGATTCCGTAAGGATAGATCGTGTACAGACCAAATCGCAACTCTACGGATCATTGTGGACCAATCAATTGAATGGAATTCATCACTACATCAACTTCATTGACTACGAAAAGGCACTTGATAGCGTGGACAGAACAACACTATGGAAACTTCTTCGACACTACGGCGTGCCTCAGAAGATAGTCAATATCATACAGAACTCATATGATGGATTACACTGCAAAATTGTGCGTGGAGGACAGTTGACAAAGTCGTTCGAAGTGAAGACCGGTGTTAGGCAAGGTTTCTTACTCTCACCCTTTCTCTTTCTCCTGGTGATCGACTGGATCATGAAGACGTCAACGTCTGAAGGGAAGCGCGGGATACAATGGACATCTAAGATGCAGTTGGACGATCTAGACTTCGCTGATGATCTGGCCCTTCTATCCCAAACGCAACAACAGATGCAGGAGAAGACGAACAGTGTGGCAGCAGCCTCAGCAGCAGTAGGTCTCAATATACACAAAGGGAAAAGCAGGATTCTCCGATACAACACAGAATACACCAATCCAATCACAATTGACGGAGAAGATTTGGAAGATGTAAAAACCTTTACGTATTTGGGCAGCATCATTGATGAACAGGGTGGATCTGATGCAGATGTGAAGGCGCGGATCGGCAAAGCAAGAGCAGCATATTTACAACTGAGGAACATCTGGAACTCAAAGCAACTGTCAACCAACACCAAGGTCAGGATTTCCAATACAAATGTCAAGACAGTTCTACTGTATAGCGCAGAAACCTGGAAAACTACGAAAGCCATCATCCAGAAAATACAGGTGTTTATTAACAATTGTCTACGCAAAATACTTCAGATCCATTGGCCGGACACTATTAGCAACAACGTACTGTGGGAGAGAACAAACCAGATACCAGCGGAGGAAGAAATCATGAAGGAGCGATGGAAGTGGATAGGACACACATTGGGGAAAGCACTCAACTGCGTCACAAGACAAGCCCTCACATGGAATCTTGAAGGCCAAAAGAGGAGAGGAAGACCAAAGAACACATTACGCCGAGAAATGGAGATAGACATGAGAAAAATGAACAAGAATTGGATGGAACTAGAAAAGAAGGCCCAGGACAGAGTAGGTTGGAGAATGCTGGTCAGCGGCCTATGCTCCATTGGGAGTAACAGGCGTAAGTAAGTAAGTAAGTAAGTCCTGAAACAAAGTCGTTCATTTGGAAGGGAAAAATGTATTCTGAACTAATAATTTGAGTTATGCGCTGCTATCACAGACACCATCTACATAATTGCGGTATTAGAGTAAGTATAGTAAGCTTGAGAAATGGTAAGGGGATTAAAATAGTACGGATAGAGAATAAGTTGCAAACTGCACTTTCAATTAAACATGTCTCTAATACAGCCATTGATGTAAGGTATTAGCGGTGCAAACAGAGACTTGACACAAACAACGAGTTACCGTATCAAAAAATTAGTAAGTAACACATATGGTGCCACTTCCCTTGGCTTGATGGAATGCTCATATACAGAAACCGACAGGGTTTACTTGAAGTTCACCCAAAAGTCACCAAAATATCTCGGATGAAGGATTGATGTTCTAAAGCTGTTAAGGGGGACTCGATAGTCCAAGTTACAGAACTCATTCTTAAGATTTATGTAAACAACACACATCAAGACATACGCATCGTATCCTAATATCCCAAACTCCCTATCTTGGGGAACTTTTGAGGAAGCCGCAATACAAAACTTCTGGGGAAATGGTACAAAACCCCCAGAATTTTCCCAGATCCGAAGGAATTTGGGGTTTTATTGAATATTTTCACACAATTTTACAACACTAGGATTTTTCTCAGAAATTCGGGGAAGACTAACAAACTTTTCATGACTTTGGGGGAAACACCAAAAATTTCCTCGAAATAGAGGGACTGCGACATTTAATCCAACGAATCAGCAACTACACACATTAAGTAGAGTAGTCCAAGTAATTCAAACCTAACGTTTCATAACAGAGAAGAGTTATGACAACTATGTAGGTACAACGTCGAATGCTGTTATTACCACCGTAGTTAGGATATAGGATATATCTGAGTTTAAACAGTAAAGCTTATGAGTGATGAGCAAGTACAGCTTAACTTGTAGTCATTAATGAGCCACAAAAATATGAGGTTTCTGGGGAAGATGGGACAAACCTGGGTAGCCATTGTAAAAGAAAAACTGAAATTGGCGGCTAGAGTGATAATACGTTATTCCTAAAACTACTGAATTCCATTTCCTCAGATAAACTTGAAGTTGACAATAAATTTCATATTATTTAGTTTTCAGCCTGTAGAAAGTATGTTTAAATAACTGTAGACGCTGCACTTTTTCAAATGTCTACGAAGGATGATCTTTTTGACGGTAACCCAAAGGTTCATTTGGTGCGATCCTCTTCATTCTTACAGGTTTTGCTTTTCTGCAACATATATTACTTTGTCCTATTTGCGGTTTTAGAATTATTTTTGTTTATTTTAAAAGGAGTTGTTCTCCCTTATTCTCAAGGTATATTTGCCAGTGAATCGTCACTGTTCATATTTTTCATATTTTCTGAAATTCTACGTATATACTGCCTCATGATTTCCAATTTGAAGGAGAGCTTAGTCGGAGTCGTGATTTCCTTTTTTCAGTTTTTACCAAATGTTGTTTTGTGTGTGTGGCTCATACTTTGGCAATCATACGTATTTTATATTGACTTAGTCTTAAGCTCTATAATGCTTATTTTGTACTTTTTCGAAATTGTTTTTGACATTATGGTTCTTGTAACATTGTCATGTGTGTCTGTTTAGTTTATCTCCTATTCGAAAATATTTTTCGATAATGAACTCAAATACATTTAGTGTTCCCAGTGGTTTGAATAAATCGAATACTTTGTGCCTTCATAGAGCTAAACGGAATCTGAATTGTTTGGATCTTTTCGTTTAACATAATCGTCGTTTTTATCACGAATGATGTCTGTATTCAACAGAATCATATGACGTTGGTATCAGACTCTTTCACTTATATCATATCAGAAAAAGGTAGAAAAAGAGTGAAAGGAGTTACAACTAAAGAAAGCTAATTGAAGCTAGAGGTATATAAACATGAGACCACTATTCTGACTATCTGATATGTAAAAAGCTATTTGTTTTAGAGAGTAATTTCCTCTACAGAATACCAATATACCAGGGATATAATTTTGTGATAGTTACATATATTATTTGTATGAGAAGTAAACCATCGAATCTTTTATTTTTCATGACTTTGCTAATGTTGTCCGTGTTTTTAAAATACTTGTTAAGCTCCTGTGACATTATGGATTAAAATGCCATAAGTATATATAAACACGTAGCTTCAACTGTCATATCAGTGGATAATGCTGCTATGAGATAGAAGGGCGTTTATACCATTCAAACGATTTTTCGCGAAGTATGTCAAGCGATGTCAAAATGAAGTAGCAATAAACAGTTCGATGTACATAACTGAAAATCTGAAATCCATTCATTTCGCCCAAAAGATTATGGATGTTTAGTTTTATTTATCAGTCAGTTATAAATGCACAAAGATGTCACAGATATTCGGTGTTTGACAACGACGTTACTCGTAACACTTGCATAATCGAGAGTCTAAAAGCCAGTCAAACCAGAATTCATAGGTCAATAGGTTGGAAGATATTTCTGGGAGATAGTCAATATATCCAGAAGTGATCCATGCTAACTAGTTGCAAGGGATGCGTAGCACGGTGTGTCCAACGATAATCTGGTGCGTGTGCTTGCCCGGGTGCCCTCAGCTAGGAAGTGCCCAGTAAAACTAATGAGATTAGTACCAATATTGGAGACTTAAAAATTTATTTGTTTGGGGGTTTATTTACCACTCATACGAACTCGATTTCTGTCAACTTAAATTCAGTACAAGTCAACTTCCGTTTTGAATTTTATAAGGTAGACGAGCAATTAAGTTCTCAGAATACTTCCTCTTAGGCGTCCTTCTCCTATTTTAGGAATGTAAAGAAAGAGAAATTTTCATCAAAAGTATGGTAAAAATCAAATAGATGTATCATATCGCTTCTAAATTGCTGAACTCCATATATTTGCTCAATATGCTTAATTTATATTAGGCAGCCAACTCGTCTCTACCACTAGGTTACGTTCCTCAGCTACAGAAACATCAGGCTGTCTAATGTTTTAGCTCTTCAGACAGGTATCATTGTAACTGTTCCTGAAACACTAACACCATGTAGGATAATATCACGTCACTTATTAAGAAGCTCCAGCCGTTAACTACCCAACTGAAAAATTGTAATCCAGTTTTCTCAAGTAAGATTATTTGATCTCCATAAATAATTAATTCTAGAAAGACATAAAGTTGATCTAATATTGTTTTTAGACAATGAGACGAAAGAAATCACTTCACTTTTGTGACCCTTTCTCTAATAAGAGGGCAAAAGGTTCAGCTACTAACGTTGCATACATCACTTTAGAAATAGCCAACGTCTCACTCTTTCGGCAAATATGGTCCACGTCTAGTATTCCGTATGATGTTCTGGTTCAGTTAGGTATAGTGTGTAAAATATAAAACTTCTGAAGCTTTTGAAGACTGAATGATTGGGCCATGTGAATAAAAGCTCTTTAGTAGTAATTATTTCATAATCTGCCATCGTTTTCCATCTAATGCCTCAAATCACTACTGGGTTTTTATTATATGACTTTTTTCAGGTGGACACGGATGATAATCACCCTAACCAGTATATGTAACTTTATTCAGACTGGGATTGATTTTAGAGCACCACCACTTGTTAAGTTCGTCGAAGAAGTTTGAGATAAGTTATAGTTCAAATGCGTCTGTATTGCAAAGTTTTATGCTTAACAATCGAGTAATCAATAAATAAGAGTGAGCGATACTGACGCATCTGTCTTAATGCACCAAAACAGTTTAAAAAAGGGAAAGTTACAGGTCATGACCATAAAAATCAGAAGATTAGGATCAAAACTCAAATAAGGTCCCGAGTATTATCGCTTTCTATCTCCAACCTTGGGAAAAATTCTCATCTTTCCTCATAAACCGTAATCAATACAAAGTTATATCGTTTAAGCAAACCTAGTAAATTTTATTTCGGACATTTTCAGATATTCATTTACTAGTGGTGAAGAAAAATCACAACTCTTGTTTTCGCGGTTCAAGTAGTAACCTTTCTCATAAATCTAAATTCAAACATAGCTTAAGGAGCACTAGTGGTGGTGACAGATAATCATCTAACCATTAGTTTGGTTTTCCTGCTCTTCAATTGGCTGGCCTCAGAAAGATGTAATTAGTTGATGTTTGCACGTTTTGCTATTTTCTACTTCCATATTTTTGAACCTGTTTTTGCCTGTAGTATTAGCTCGGCAAATTTACATAATACAATAAACTTTGAGTTTGGGTAAACCTACGTAGTTATCTTAATCAACAGTTGATTTTGGAAAGTAAATAATACTAAATGAGCCAAACGCTTCGGAACTTAGCTAGCTTTTGAATGACTTCAAAAATATTTGGATCTTATATATTGAATATCCAATTTAAAATGCTCACTGTTTGTTTACTGAAGTGACTTTATATGTGAATAAAAAGACTAAGAAGAGTGAATTTATTCTTTATTACCAGAATATTGGTGCTTTTGGAAAAATTTTCATTTTTGTAAAGGAGGAGCAACAAGTATTATGGAATAAAGTGAATTTATTTCGTTTAGTGTGTTTCAAATCACTCTACACGCACAATAATTGGTACAAATAAATACACAATTAAAATTTTTTACGAACGTAGTTTTATATGTAGGTCCAATAGGGTCATTTGTTCACTAATGAAGAGTATTTATAACAACTTTAAATTTACTGGTGATTAGAGTAGATGAAACAGACCATACTATTAAAAGGTAGAAGAAACATATACAAGCCGTTATGATTGAAGTAACAGCTGAAGATTGCTCGATAAAATCTAATTAAGTGATTGGCCGAATTGAAATAATGTTTAAAAAAGTGAAGCTGATTATATGGGATATAAAGTGGAAATGAAAACTTGACTTAAATGAATGACAGAGCTTTTATTTGTGATCAAATAAAAATTGATAGGAAGTATGGACTTATAGGTAATACAGAAATATTAGTTTTCAATGAATTCACCATACTACTGACTCACCATGTATCAAACAGTGTTGAGTGGAGAAAACGAATAGGAGATGAGGTAATTATATTTCACATAGCAGATAAATTCGAGAGCGGAAGTGAAACAACTAGTTGTCAGACATACAGTCAAATATACCTTCTGCAATATTGCTATTGGAAAAGTTAAACGTATATTAGATAAAATATATGCTACGTGTTAAAAGTACCGAGCTTTCAGGCCTTCAGTGGTTTTATGACTTAGATCGGTTCGTGATCTCAACAATATTCAGCAATCTCCATATCTTCTATACTGATAAAGTCGTTTTTCATGATATAATTAATGCCTCAATAATCTCATGTCAAAAGACATAACCGGCTCATCCAAAGTAATTTCTTGATTAACCGAAGGCTATTTTTAATATGGAATTTGATTGAATAACGTGAATGACAGTTAACTTATTAGAGTTTAATTTATTTAAAGAAAGAAGCATAGTCTTTTTAATGCATGGTAGAAGGTAGTTTACTTAGGTTCTCAATGTTTCATTAATTATCTATCATTTTAAGTGATTAGGACAGAATACAAGGCAAATATAAAGTATCTTAGCCTAACATATTAATACTTATCGTGCGATAATTTTGAATAGAATATATATGACCACGTCAGTTTTTGAAATATTTTACATAAATAAGTATGAATGACTTATTGCAAGTTCGGGCACATATACTTTATACAAATGAATAAATTCCCATCCCCACTAAACGTTGAATATCTTAATTTTTTGGCAAAAATGATCTCAGAAGATGCTAGGTACACAAACAGTATATTTTACTAATAACAAATAGTACTAAAACTCAGTTTATGGGTATAAACAGATACGTAGATGAATTTTAAGTTTACTAAGAGACTCCTAAAGTACCAAACAAATCCAGGAAAGATTTTTAGCTGATCGACTAAACTAACGTAGCGGTTACCGTCAAAATGAAAAACGTTCGACCATACAATATAGTTATATCCTGATAAGTAACCGTGAACTTGAAAAATAATCAATCTTTTGTGACTGTATATTAATTAGAAATCAAAATTGTATTGTACTATTTTATTTATTATTGTTCGCGAATAGTTCATATTACGAACAAAAATTATTTTCTGAAGCAATCAACGCCAAGAAGGACAGTGTAACTGTTTCCTTTTACTTTACTAATTATCATCCGTTTGCGCCAAAAAATATAACACAAAGGGAAATTCAGGACCTTTAGGTATTATACAAACCAGCGTACCATTCATTTCCCATTATCGAATTCATTTAGATTTCTAATCCAATGTAATCCTTTGAGAACTGTTTGAGTTCCGATATGAATGAATATAAAATTCATAAATTCCACTCAGAAATTAAAGGAAGCCGTTTAGAGCTAGTAACTAATGAAGAAAATGATTTCCGAACTAACTACATTTCGATATAACATTTAAGTAATCTACTACTGGTAATCCAACAATATTTGTCAACTTATCATCAAAAACAAGCATATATACGAATTATGATTGAATTTTATTTAGAATAACGATAGGCATGATAATTAATTACTTTTACTGTATAAAGAAACAAGACAATAAAAAACACGCTTCAAAAAATTAATCTATATACTTATACTACTTTTTTACGAATAAGTAGATAGTTACAAACAATTCAAATTTGATGTTCATATATATATATATATCAATAATAGTCAAAGGACAATTAATGGAGATTAAAAAAACAAAAATTACAGAATAGTGGAAATTTCACAAATGAGCTTAAAATTTTTACAATCCTATCTAAATTATGAATTAAATTTTAATGTAAAAAAAAGTACTATTCATCCATATTCACTTAGTCATATTCAATTTAGTGTATCTAAGAGAAAGAGAAAAAGGAGATTAACATTAATTAATCAGATTAAATTTCCTGTCTAGACATGTTAAATGAATTTTTTTGGGTGTGTGTGTGTGTGTGGGAGGGACGGCTTGGTAATGGAAAAACACTAAGTTAGAATAAATGGAATTAATATTCCTATTTATATTTTGTTTTTGTTTTTCATTTTACATTTATGTTTCTCTTTAATCAAGAGTAAATACTGGACAATTATTATTATTATTATTATTATTATTATTATTATTATTGTTTATATTGGATTCATCTATTAAATTTTCTTCATTTTTATGCATATTTGATTGGGATATATTAAATTTTATATCTTTTGAATGATCATATTCAGTAGATCTTTGATCATTGATTTGTATATTATTTGGTATTTTTAAATAATCTTGAAAATGTTGATATACATTAGTTGATTTTATTGGTAGACTATATTGACGTGTTAAATTTACTGTAGGTGACCATTTCTGTTGTGGCAATGATGGTTGTACTTGGTGTTGTTGTTGTTGTTGTTGTTGTTGTATCATTATTGAATTTGATTGATTAAATAAACTATTTTGTAAGATGTAATTTTCATTTTCTAATTTATTAATTCGATATATGAGATGACTTAATTGTTCAATTAATTCATGATTCGTTTTATTATGTTTGTAACCATGTATAGTATTAAACATTGAATTATCTTCTATTGAATGATTAGAAATATGCCCTGTTTTAAATATACCTGGTGATTTATAATGATGTGAACAAGTTTTATAAGGCCATGGAGGTCGTCTAGCTGTCCAATTAGGTGTTTTATGTTTTGGTATTTTTAAATGAGTACAATATTTTCCATGTGTTGGCTCTGGTATAGGCATAGAAGATGAATAAGAAGGAGCTTTAATGATACATGATGATGATGAAGGTTGTGAAGTATGCTTGTAAACAGCTTGATATTCTTGTTCATCTTCGGAAATTGTTGCTTCTGAAATAGATGGTGTAGAAGCTTTTTCAAAACAAATAATTGGTATCACTCTTTTTCCATTTACTGTACCATCATGATTTGAACTATCCAAATTTGAAGTTATTGTTTGTTTTCCTTTCATGGAACAGTCAAAATGACAATATTTACGAAACAACTTTTCATTTTCTACTTCTTTCCATTGATTTGAATGAAAATCAGTAATCACGACACCACTATGTAATGCTATAGGTGTAGATTTCACGTTAGACTCTTTTAATTGACTACTATTTGGACGATAAAATGAATCATCAGTAGGAAACAGATTTGTTGGCATTGATAGATGACGCTGTTTTCCAAATGGGATTGGATTATTCTGATATAATTTTAACCGAGGACATTTATTTGATTCGGCTATTAAACAATTACAAACCTGTTCGTTTTCATTAGAATATAATGCTGTAAAATTTCCTAAACTATCACTTACTGTTGTCGGCACTGAACTCGATCGATTCTCATAAACAGGCTGACTTTGACTCGTTACGTTGAAGATTGTAGGATTAAGCTGTGGAAATGGTGAATTGTTTGAAGCTATATGAGTTTTATCAGAATTGTTCATCACCATAATGGCTGATGGAGTAGGGGATCGTTGCGGTGTAGGCAGAAAGGCTGAGCAACGACTTGGGTCACTGCCATAACCATCCGACCCATCGCTGTTGGAAACACGTACTAAGCACTCATTATTTGAATTCATGTCTAATTGAGAATGACTGTTTTGACTAATTGACAGATTATTATTACGAAGGTGTGTGCTGTCATGAGCAGGTGCAGAATATCCAGTGTAATTCATGGGATCTGTTGAGTTCATAACTTTCTTCTCAAATGGAATAGATTTGATTGGAAAATCTAAAAGAAGAGAGAAAACAAAATATTATTTTAGTATTTAGGCAAATAACTGAAAGCATTTTTAATATACATCGACTACTTACAATGAAGATTGGAAACATCAAATAGTTGATGATTTTGTTCGCATCAGATTTGTGCTACAGACAGTTAGATATGATCCTAAATCAATTATTTTGTGACTTATCTTTAGATTAAGTCCTAGAATTCCTAAAACTACATTAGAACACACCGACATGATATTGTCTTAGACTTCTTGGCTACGCACATGATTAGAAAAGATAACATTTTTAATGATTGACTGGTTCTCGATTCACTATTATAACGATGATTCATATTAGAAATTTGAAGTATTTTTTTTCGTGCGTATCTTATGAATCACTAAGAAACTAGTGTGTTTTGTTATCAGGCTTTCAATTAGTATTCACTTTAAATCCAAGGCAAGATTTAATTCGAGATCTTTAGTTAACAGGGCAAGGTAATAATCTTCGATAATTCGTTACTGCAGTCAGTTTACAAGTTCTTAGCATCAATGTTGTGGAAGAGAATGTGTGAATCTATTTCAATTCTCAAACAAAATTGAAATAACTGGTTACTGCTTTCTAGACTTGAATATGATTTTCTAGTGATCTTTAAAAAGATTGTATTTTATTCCATTCATCTCTAGTGAACAAATTAAATGAACTAATAAATAGCAGTTATTAATGGAAATGATAAGGAAATGACATTCCAGAATAAGTTAATCAATTTTGTCAAGTAAGTCATTATCGGGACCAATAGAAAAAGTAAATAGTTCCTTCATAGATTACACTACATAATGATTGGGAACCAAAAAACACTGGAAACCTTTTTCGTCTTAATATGAGATTCATCGGTAGTGCATAACTACTTCCCCACCGGCAGTCATACTCAAGGCTCCCTGATCTCATAGGCAACGCATAACATTTCAACCACTGAATTAGATACACACAGTACTAAAAATATCCTAATCAGTGAATTATGTGTGAGGCAGTTACCCACCAAGGACAATGGAAGATGGTCCTGTGATATCGTAGATTGATTAAAGTTAGACATTACCACTGTTGGATGCCGGTCTAGTGGTCTGCAGGCTGAACGCGATATTGAGGGTCCTGGTTTCGAGTCCCCCTGCGTTATCTTAGATACTCACTGCCGAGTAGTCCCATACTAAGACGAAACAGCCGTTCGGTGCTCCTAGGCTTTCAGTGGTGGTTCAACACTGACCGGTTCATGATCTTAATGTAATCATTATGTCTTTATATACTCCTCGAGGGTTCTTACGTGAGTGTGAATAATAATATTGTGAACAGATACAAACGGAGAGATTCATTAACATTTTAACAAATAATATCAAGTACTAGCACAATGTTCAATTAATAAAAACCCAATGTCATGATTGAATGCTTTTACTTTAGTAATTTGTCATTAATGTGTAAAAAGATGTTAACTGAAACATGAAAAGCTGGCTTTACATTGAATGTGTATTAGTAACATCCATGAAACTTATTCAACTCTTTCTAGACTAAATTTACACTCATAGATTGATTGTATCAAAGAATAATGAATGAATTTAAGGTAAATTGTAGATAGACTTTGGTTGCTGATTAACAAAATATGACTACAGTTCTATAATGTTTCTCTCAATAAAATGAATTAGTAGTAGATGCTTTCAATCATAAGAAAAAAATTAGCAACATGTAATCACAAATGAGAGATAAAACTCATTATCTGTATGAAAAGTTCCATCTGATATGATTACGAATTCTTCAACACTTAAGAATAGAATGGGATATGCTTCTTTTAGGCTAAACCATTGAATGTACAAGGATAACAATGAATGAGATGTAAAAAGGGTTAAAGTGAACAGTAGAAATCATGGTTTACTACATCTATATTTGAAAGATCTTAATAAAAACATATAAAGTAGAAGACAAAAAGTAATCACATTAACAGAATAATCATACCTTTCATATTTTGTTGTGGAATATTCTGATATTGATTTATTTTTCTATAAGCATCAGCTTCAAGTTTACTTCTTGCATTTGGATACTCTTTAAGTACTTTCCAAAGATCAGATTTAGACAAACAGAATAAATCAGAATATCCTAGAGAACGTACTGATGCTGTACGTCTATTACCATTATTACCCAGATTTAAAATAGATAATTCACCGAAATAGCTTCCAGCGTGTAGTGTAGCTAAAACTGTATGCCCATCATCACCTAAAACATGCAATTTTCCACGATTCACAATATACATTTGCTTACCGATTTCACCTATAAAATATGAAGTTTATTTTAAAAAAAGGTATTCTGAGTAATATATGAAAGTGAATAAATAATCGACGGTAATCTGTAAGATATCACATTATATATTATATTCGTTACTTTCAATTAGCTGTTATAGTAGATTAGTAAACTGAGATAAAATGAATATATATGTGTAGGTTTGAAGTATATTTTATACAGAGTATAACCAATGGTATTAGTTTACAGTTCCCCATAGATACTCTGATAGATAGTACTGTATCTAATTACTATTTCTAGAAGATCCACTTTAATCATGAAAGTTTTTAAAAACTATTGATTTTCAGTACTGATTAGTTGGAAAGTAATTGAAAAGTTTAGTGTACTTAACACTTTCCTGAATTCCAGGTAGTGCCCTTACTAACTTTGTTGACTTCAGCCAGAAATTTCCTGCTGTCTTACTGTTCGAAAATCTTTCGTGAACTTAAACAATGGATTATACAAGATTTCCTTATCATTACCTAATTCAGTTAAAATCATGCTCCTTCCAGAGACTTGACTTGAAATAGATTTCTTGAAGTCTTAGTAGGGAATACTGACCAATACAGTTGGCCGATATTCAAGTAAGGCAGTAACAGACTGACAAAACATCGCCGTATGAGAAGCTCGAAAGCACTTTGTAAGATGATATATGAAGATGGAAAAACGTACCAGAAAAAAGATAGTTTCCTTATTTTCCTTATTTATATTTATGATGACTAAAAGTAAGTTGAGAATTCTAAGTACCTCATTCATATAAACGAAGGAAAAGGATATCCAAATCTGGTTTTCAAACGATAGAATAATTGACTTGTCTTTTGTGACATACAAAAGAATAAATATATTATCACTGAGTAATCATTCATCTCTTATTTGATCAACCATCTTAATCATTATAAACAGATTAACTGATGAGTTCTATTTTCGACCGATATCAATCTTTGTTGCATAATCCCTTCAGATATTCTAAAATTTCTTTCACTTATCCTCAAAACATACATTTCATATCACAGAATCAATTATTCATTATGTAATTATGTTCTCTTATATATATCACATTTTATGAAAACGACTAAAAGAGAATGAATTTTATTCTCACTGACGATGTAAAATTTGATAGAAACAATCATGTATTTGAAGGTACAAAATAGTTATGACAAGTTGTTAGAAACTGAATAGACATAGTTTGATTCAGGTAACTGATTAGTTTGTGATGTAATAAAAAGGAACTTAATTAATCGGAATATGACTGACGTATAGAAATTATTTTCTTCAATCGTCTAAAACACTTATCAGCAACCTTACACCAGTAAATTAGTTATACTCAGAAAGGGGTTTTGTAGAGATTGTAGTAATTTAATAGTTAAATTCATAAGTCAGTTGAAGCTAGACCACAATGGAAAACCTGGAAGCGCTTGACTGCCGTTTCTTCCTACTTTGGGACTCCTTAACAGTGAGCATTCAGGAACTCACCTCACGAGATTCGAACTCACGATCTATCGGTCTCGCGTGTGAATGTTTAATCACTACACCATTGAGCCGACCTCCAGCGATGTTAATGTCTAACTTCAACCAACCCACGAAATTGCGCCACCGTCCATCATTGTCTTCAGTGAGTTATATCTATTGGTTACGGGAATCAAGGGGCAATAGTATGGTATACTTGTTAATGATCAAATCATTCCCTTTCATTTTAACAATGATCGCCTTTTTTGTAATACTATTTGAGTAAAATTTTAAATGGAAACATCTTTTGAAATATGTGAATTATATCCATTAGTCGATGTACGTTTATTAAAAAGTGTAGTGCATCATTCAGCGTATATACTTTATCTAGTTCAAGTTTTATGAAACAAATAATTGATACTTATTACTAAACACATAATGAATAACTTACCTTTACGGCATACATAATCACCTGGTGCAAACAATACAACACGTAGTTTTAATACAAGTTCTGATAAAAATCCTTCTTCAGTATCTTGAAATATTTCCACTTGTTTTAATGTATTCAAATGTACATGAATAGCTATTTCGGCTTTTAACTTATACGGCAGATTTCGTAGAACTTTTTCTTCATCTGTTATTTTATTCGTATACCAAAGAAAATCAAACCAATTTATCACACGTTCTTGTAATGATGCTGGTACTCTTCTTAATGTCATATAGTTTTTCACACTATCAAGCCGTGCTGAAATATATATATATTACAATAAAATCATTGTAGACATACTGAAGACCATGTTAAGCTCATTTATTCATGTAAATTATACTCAGATGAATGTTTCCTTTTCATTACGATTAAAAATAGGTTACAGTTGAGCTTCAGTCGGGAAAAATTTATTCCCAGAAATTAGATTGAAAAGTCAAACTACTTGTTAGTAGGTAAATGTGTAACTCAAAAATAAGTAACTAATAATAAGCGAGCCGTTAATATTTAATCTGTGTTTTACTACATACAGCTCGGTTTTTAGAAGAAATGGATATTCAGTATATTAGGAGTCAACGGTTTCGAGCATATGTGTTTCCTAAGAGTTTGTTAGAGAGGAGCTCCTTATACCTTTATGTGGAACTTATCAAAATTTAATTACTTTTTGGTTATCGTTAACACTAAGTATCTATCCGTGATTTAATTTTAAACTATCCTAAAGAATAGCTTGGATTTTCAAGCTACGGCAAAAAATGTTCGGCAGGCAGAGCAGTAGATCAAAAGCATGTTTGCCTGTAATGGAAGACCTATTACAATGTACTTGTTGGTTATAATCGGTCATTTAGGTTTATTTAAATGAAGCTACCTACTTTAGACATGACGAATACCGTAGCCTTATGCTGCATATTTAAACGATAAGAAAAGTGTTAAATATATTATTGACGTAATGACGCAATCTAAATATGTATGACTGTTTTTCGTCTAGATCCATATAATCCCTTTATTAAAGCCAAATTCTGATTCATCTTGAATCTTATATGAAATGTTCAAATGAATGCTGAACCGGCTGAACGTGATTGCAATACATTTGGTGTTAGCAAAAAATTCCTCTGAAATGTATTGCACTTCATATGTTATTTAGCCTGAATTATTTCATTTGTAAAATTGAAATATTTTTATTGTTTGGAAATAGAAATTTCGGTGAGACTATAATTTATGGACGACCTTTGAGAGACTCTAGAGTGACATTGAAGGTGTTCGCCTAATAACTAGGATCAAATGTGGGTTATAAATCCGTGTAAGGAATTAAAATTATAATTTACACTTGATGGTCAAGGTTAGAAATTAGATTTAAGGTTTTCATCACTAACTGACATAATCTATAATGTCAAAACTTTATTTAACCAAATAGATGAGTGAATTTCGCGCCAAAATCCAAGACCTGTTATCTCACAACCTGATTGGTTCGTTCATAAATTATAATCCCGCCCCCCGAAATTTCGATTGTCATTGTTTGTTTGTTTCACACAACAAATTCAATAAACATAATTACAAGATAAAACAAAATTTTCATTTTACTCAATTTTTTATTATTAAAAAGTTCATAAAATAAATTAGAGTTTTGTTAAAAACATTAAACACAAAATATAAAGTTAAGAATATTAGGTAACAAAATCAAAATACTGAAACATTCAACACACTTTAAACTAATTGCAAATGTTTATCTTTTGAAGTACTTTTTTGATTTATATCAATAGCTTCATTTGACTCATGATCTCAACTATTAAAATTTCTATAATATTCACAATAAAACCCCTTCTGATATGTATCAATATATGCTCATTAGTGATTGGCTTCAACAGGTATTTCCTGGAGATCTGGTCAGAAACAGGGACCAGTGAAGTTCAACCAGATCTGTTGTGAGATAGTAAATCACTAAAGACAATGGTGGATGTGTCAGTCAATTTCGTGGATTATTTGAAGTTGGACATTAACACTGTTGGATGCCGATCATCCAAGTGGTCTGGTGGTTAAACGTTCGCGTGTGAGACCGATAGATCCTGAATTTGAATATCACGAGACGGAATGGTATATGTGCACTGCGTTGAGGAGTACTACAATAGGACGAAATGACCGTTCAGTGTTTCCAAGTTTTCCATAGTGGTCTAGCTTCAATTGACTCATGAACTCAACTATTAAAATTACTATGAAATCTGCGAAAATCCCTTCTAGTAAATTAATATTTCATGATTGAATGAAAATGTTTACTTTAGCCAAGTATAGAACCATGAGAGTTAAGTTAGAACCATATATTTATATTAACAATTGAATAAGAATCGGATAAAATGTGATTACAACAAGGAGATACTTTATAATTTAAAGGGGAATTTTTTATGGTTATGATTGATCATGATTCTTAAAATTGTAGCAAATTCTATTGAATTTTTCTTAAAGGGAAAGATGGCTATTAAGTTTAAATTGAGTTCTGATAATTTTTGTAAATAAACTAAACACCGGAAGAGTAGGAATATCTCTAATTAATTTTTTTTATAGAAAACAAGGATTATGTTAAGGATTAATCTACGTTCAAGGTCCCAACATGCCATGGTACAGCCGAGAGTAGAGAGAGTCAGCTCTCCCTCCCGAAATGCTGTCCCATGGCCACTTGTATACAGCCACTGCCAGGAAAATTCTACTCACTGCTCTCTTGCCTCGGGGGTGTTGTTAACAAAATTGAGGGGACGCAAAGCGAATGTCCGGAGCTTTACCCGGGTTGGTGGATACAAAGGATCAACCTAAGGGAGTTACAAATCTTTGATTCCAAACCCATGGTGCGCATGGGCTCCGGAATCCTGAGGGAACAAATGGCGTATGAACCAATCGTTGGTCACCGGCTCCCATTGGACTGCATCTTCTGACGTTGACCCACTACCTTGTGGATCAGACCTTTAAGGCAAAGGCTCGGGGAGTGGCCTCCCTAAGAAAACCACCTGCTTTGATTCGGGCACTTGGGTAGTATCCTTGCTTTCACATAAATCGAACGATTTATATGGTGCATATCTATTTGGTGCCCTCTGTACCAATGTTTCTATATTTAAATAAATGACTAAATAGACAACATTATAGGGAAAGTAAAATGATATGAGAAACAATGACTTAATCGATTAGATCACGTTTTAAAGAGTGATCATCTAACTTAGTCAATTAGTTATATTTGTTGTTTACAAATGGTTCACACAGCAAGTTGTTTGAACTTATTATTGTTAAATAACAACCAGTTCAACTTATACTAATGTGATTATAAATAAACTATATAAAAATTGGTGTATTCATACATTATTTCGATGTATTTCTACGGTCAAATAAATTCATATTAGCAGCCTTTGTGTTTTCCTTAAGCGTCGTTGTATTCAGGGTTTTCAGTAACAAACGTAATTAATTAAGTATTCAACAAACATAACAGTGACAAGTATAAGATAAACTTTCTGGCGAGAGACTGGTAGGTCCTGGGTTCGAATCCTGCGAGGTTGGGTAGTGAATGCGCACTGCTGTGGAGTTCTACAATAGGATGAAACGGCAGTCCAGTGCTTCCAGGTTTTCCATGGTGGTTTAGCTTCAATTGACTCGTGATCTCAACTGTTGAAGTTTCTGGAAGAAGTTTGAAATAAAATTGTTGATTCACTGAAGATATTTGACTTCGACACATTAACCTTTTAGTCATTATTGAGATATATGAACATTACTAAATCCGTATAAAACAGAGTTATTACTATTAACATTGGTCATCAATGTTTAACTACTTTTTTAACAAATAAAAGGTCTAAACGGAAGACCATTTAAACACTGAACGTCATATATACTGTAACCTCAGTAGTTAGGTCATAATCTAAATGATCCGATTTCATAAAATGATGTGACGTTTTTAGTAAATTGAAATCCAAAGATAAATTAATCGGGATAAGCATAAAATGTTAGAGATATAAAATCAATAACTTAATGTTTCACAAAAAATAATCCAAATAACAGAGATGATTTATATCAAAATGGTTATAATCGATTTAAATTACTCCGCTGGTGATATTCAACATTAAAAATCTTGATTAGTCTCAGTTGACATCTTGGGCAGATCGCATAGATATAACCATTACATTATACTAGAATTACATTAGAATCCAGATTGCGCGTCTCATCCCATATGGAGTACATTAGCTAGCTGTACTTGGTTACTATGTGTAAGTTATTTCTACCATTAAAAAAAATACCTAAAACAGTATGAAATCTAATATGGACTTTTAGAGAAAAAATGTAATACGGTTTACTATAAGTTATCTTTCATTTCTAATAATTACCCAAGGATAGATAGAATTCAATGAAATGTTATTCAAAAGGTTGAATAAATATCTCACCATGTATAAAATTGAAGTTATATATTGGTTTGTTTCCAGCAGATAAAAGATTTCTTATGTCCAATGATTTTAAGTAGTAGTATTATACAAATTTCTCTATAAAGATGTAAAGTTTAATATTTATTGTCTTAATGACGTTTTGTTGTTGTTGTTGTTGTTGTTGTAGGAATCATTACATGATTTTCTATTTTATTTCTAATTCATAGAACAAGATTCACAATCTATACAGTGTATTGTATTACAAGAAAATTTATATATAATATAACTATTTATAAACAAATCTTCCATAGGGTTTTAGCGGCCTGCTTGACTATCAGAGCTACCTGTTCCTGTCATCTGGATATTTCAACAAGTTCCCTGTTTTATTGTTTGTTTTAACGCATCATTATTTCTATTACTCACATAAACTATTCACGTGTGTTTGTAAAAACTTCACAACATTTCGTTGTACAAATTACAAAAACGAGCGCAATCACAGACATCGTCTTTGCTAGCAATATGCATTGAAAAGAATATACATTAATCAGAATGGGTTTTTTAGACATTATAGTAATTTCGATGGTTGAGGTGATGAGTCAGTTAAAGCTAGACCATCAGTGCTTCCACGTTTTCCACGGTGGTCTAGCTTCAACTCACTCACCATCTCAACCATTCAAAATACATTAATCAGATGTCGATTTACTAAACTGCTAACATGTAACTGGTGACCACTCAATATTTATCGTAAGGGTCGATCGAAATGTCATTCATCAAAATATTTAGTTGACTGATTCTATCTACTATTGGCTGGTTTAGAAATAATCACCAAATGTAATGTTAAAGTTTCGCTAACAATCTTGGAAAACTTGGCACAAA